AATGATTTGAACTTTTCTTAAAATATAGAGACTTGATGCTAAATTGTGACAAAAGTTTGTCATGTAATACGACTGTTCTTGTCGCTGTTTTTTCATCAAGTGCGATCAGAAGATGTACCTGAAGGTGAGTCTTGCTTATTGTATGTACAGTTTTACTCCTGATGTATATGCATAACTCATGTTATTTATTAGATCCTGTGCAGTCGATTGATGCACCACTTCTAATGACAAGGTAAATTTATCCAGTGAATTTGAAATACTTCTCAAGATTTCTCAGGAATTCCTTATAGGCCAATGAGTATCTATTAATGAAGAATAAAATCAGCCCCTAATCTCTTGCGCCTAGCTGCGCCTAAAGGTAGGAAAAAATTTTAAAGACCAATTCCAGCCAATTGACATCGCTGTCTGGAAACCTCTCGGTCTTTTTGCAAGACCTAGCCCAAAGAACCAAGGCAAGACTTCTTAAAAGCTCGGCACTTTAAAAAAATTCACACTGCCCTGATTCATGAAAAACTTGGCTTTTCTTGTAGTGAACTTGAATGAGCTTGAGAAACAGGAATGCCACTTGAAGCGGCCAGGTCAGCTTGGTTCATCTGCCTCATGATGTTGTAGAGGTCCCTTCGGGTCAAAGGCATTGGCATCTTTCCTGAAGAATCGCAAGATGAACAATATGAAAAAAGTCCTCACTTTAGGCGCAGTTGGGTGCAGGAGATTAGGGGCTGATTTTATTCTTCATTAATAGATACTCATTGGCCTATAAGGAATTTCCTGAGAAATCTTGAGAAGTATTTCAAATTCACTGGATAAATTTACCTTGTCATTAGAAGTAGTGCATCAATCGACTGCACAGGATCTAATAAATAACATGAGTTATGCATATACATCAGGAGTAAAACTGTACATACAATAAGCAAGACTCACCTTCAGGTACATCTTCAGATCGCACTTGATGAAAAAACAGCGACAAGAACAGTCGTATTACATGACAATATTTGTCACAATTTGGCGTCAAGTTTCCATATTTGAAGAAAAGTTCCAATCATTGACCTTTGCACCACGTAAAGGCTAATAAAGGACCAGAGGAAGGCCTGGAGAAATAGCGATGCAGGACGAGGACTTTAATCCGTAACTTTCAGCGACAAAATTTTTTTTTCCTCCGTTTTCGAAATATTGGTTTTGTCCAAGAATTTCCAACTTTTGTACCACTGTGGGGTGGGGGTGGCGACTGTACCCCCTATGGCCATGTTCGCATTCATTGCCTTTAAATTCTTCCGTGCTTTTGCACGAGCTACTTGTGCTCCTGTAATTGTCCGACGTTTCTCATAATCCGCTTAGTCACCCGTGCGGCTATACCAAATCCCATTTTTTCTTCTTCCTCTGATCAGCGCCATAATTTTAGCTGTAAACCTGGCGGAAGGCTGTCTGAGCGAACTCTTCGACTTCTTAAGATACAAGCCTCCATAAAGCCTTGTAAAACTGTCTTGAAAACTCCCCTCTACTTCTCAACTGTCAGCCCACGTAACACTCCTCCTCAATCGAGGCCTGAAACGTATTCACGTAGCCTATCGAAATTATCTTTCCTAGTCGTATGAATGCTAAAATTTTGCATCGCGAGAGTAGAAATACAATTTGCACCGGCATGAATTCATGCTGTTTACCGTTCATTTGATGAAGTTGGGCAATTCAGATCCTCTGCGAGCGAGATGTGCCCCGTTTCTTAATCTCACCTGTGGAGGTGAAGGCGGTTTGGAAACCCTGTATCGCCTCATTACGTAATCGCTGCGCCCTTTGTTCTTATGCGTACGGAGTGTGGGCATGAGATGAGGGTTTGCTTAGTTGTACAGAAACACATGGGAACTTACAAGCTGGGCCATGTTTCATAGGCCTAGGGTTTAATGTTTCAGTTTTCCTAGTTCGCATGAGGGTTGCTGACACTCTGTCTGTGCAGCGCCATTTTCCTGCGCCATTTTTCATTTACGGCAGGAAATGGAACAGGTCCAAGTGAGCAGCTCATTTCGTCTAATTTATGCTCGTGTTCCTCACGTAAATGGTACATCACATTAAACTGGAAGTGTATGCACGAAACGAAGCCATTCCGAATTTATTGTAGGAGGGCGGAGCTTGGATAGGCGCAGCATGGTCCGCGCGGGCCGCATTCCACTACGTGACCTGTGATCTTATTCCAAGTTGACCTATTTTCGAGCGGAGAGCTCTGCGTGTTTTGCCACCGTGATATTGTTCTCTAGAGATATGAAATTAGGCCTATGCCAATATTTTTATCGGCTGCAGACCTAAACGTAATTTTATCTTGCGGTATTCTTAGTTCTATGATATTGCTTTTCTGTCGACTTCGAAACCCAAGCATGGGTTTCCATAAGCGGGTTACGGAGTGTCTTGAGGAGAGTAACAGTAAAATGAAAAATCTGTATATCGGGCTTGGCCCAGGCCTAGGCCTAATGTCATGCTGCGTTAGCTTAGATGCCTTCTTTGTCCTGATCTGCCATATGGGCCTAGGCATATGGCAATTTAAAACCGAACGTTGGTGTATTATCCTGTTTGCGCTGTCTGTCTACATTTGTCTAATGGAGGCACAAAATGTTCTTACATATTCATAGAGCCTGTGTGTTTTGGATTATGTTGGGTGAAAACCTTTCCATATTAGTCCTTTTGTTGATTCATTGATGAGGGTCAGGTAAATATAATTAACAGATTATACTGCTATTGCTGGGATTCTGTTCTTCGTTCTTTGTTCTTTGAGAGGGATCTGGCGCATCAGGAGCCACTCTGGGATATTTTTCTCAAGTCCTTTCTTATTTTTAGTAGCATACCAGTAAGTCTTTATTGGCAATATGAAAAATAAATCCCATTTCTCTTCCTCCCCCCCTACCCCCACAAGAAAAATTAAATTGTTCACAATATCAGAAAGATGACTTTAAGGTGACAGAAGATAGGGGAAAGACTGGAAGCTATGCCAGCTATTATGTCCAGCTAGGCCAAATAGAAGGGGCCCCTGTATTAACCAAAAGTCACGTGTTCGTTCTTTTCCTAATCACAATAAGCACAAGTGGGATGCCATTTTTCATCTATGAATGGCTTAAATTTAGGTTTGTGGCATTTAAAGCATGCATGGATTGTGAAAGTTCATACAAATGGCTTTTTTGGGCTTAATTTTTTCTCCCTAGGCATTAAGTTATAGTGCATTTGGCATTTTCTCTTTGCATCATGTGTCTAAAAGTATTTCCATGGTTTCTCTCTCAAATCTTCTTCAAAATGGTGACAATAAATTGGGTTGAAGTACTTTATTAGATGGAAAATGTCAGGAACACATTATAAGATAGAATTGTGATTGTCTCTCACTCTTTCATGGAATCATTCTTGCTTACTTGGTGTTGGTTAATTTCATTGAAATATTGACTGCTTTCCTTTGTTGTCAACAACAGGGCAACAATGCATACATTCATGAAAGACATGATCATTTGAATTCTACAAATGAAAGAAAAATTGGTTTTTGAGAAGGAAGTTCATTAGATCAGTAGTTCATAATGATTTTTGTATGGCAGATCAAGTAGACCAGGGCTTGCGTTAATTTTCTTGCCTTAAGGGTCCTCAGGACTCTCAAGTCAAGAAGAAAGGGTCACTCAGAAAAATTTTGGGGGTCCCATCGCAATTGAAGCGTGATGAAATCTTGCAAAGTTGCACAAAAAGTTTCAAATCCCACAAAGTTTTTTCTTTGATTTAACGTGACCAAAAGCATGATATTCAATTCAGCAGCTTTAGGACTACTTCCAACATTTTCTCTTTAACAAATATCCCTAGGGCATCTTCAAATTTTCAAATTACAAACTTCTGCTTATTAAGACTGCCAGATGCTGAGTAGGGATTTTTCTTATTTGCATTTGCACATAAATCACAGGAAGCTCTTCCATCTCTATAGGAAAACCAGGAATGCATTTTGACCCACGCCTTTTTTCATTTAAAAAATATTTTTTCCTTCATTGTGATTCATGGTTCACAAGCGGCCCATTTTCATAATCACCTACATCCATCTCTTTCCCTTCGGTTTGACTAGGTGAAAGCCTATGGCAATCTTCCCTTCTCTGTGCACCCTAAGTGGAACGATGACTGATGATGATGAGAATTTATACCTACGCTGTTGATACCTTTCTTTGTGCCACTAGGCCCATGTTCAGGAACATCTGAATGCATACCAACGTGTGATAATAAACTAACATTGTACATTTTCCGCTTGTAACTGAACGAGAAGAGTGTTGGCCCAAACCGCCCTGAAGTCTAAATTGAAACAAACGAAAATACGCCATGAATGCATGAACACAATGCATCATGCGCTACTCTCGTCACTTTCAGGTCGCGCATCTTCCTCGGCAAGGACCCCCCCCCCTCCCCCTCCTGTCACTAATAAGGTTGTGCCCGGGTTTATTTAGGCATGGTTCTAAGAGGCAACTGCCAACTGGTCTGAAAACCAGTCAGAAAATCTAGAACTTTCCCGTGCATCCCTGGGACCCTGATGTTTTTCTGTTGTGCGTCCCTTCAGAATTTTGTGCGTATAGGATGCATATCTAAAAACGCAAGCCTGTAGACTGGTGTGTTTTTGACCTATTTGTTGCCTTAGCATTCTTCCTGATCAGGGGAACCTCTATTATAATCCTGATTTCCTCCCTCTCTTGAAGTACTGATATGATTGAGTGGCAGTACCTATATCTAGAGCTACCATGACATGAAAATCTGGCCAAAATCAGTCAGCTTTTGCCTCAGAGCCAATTTTTCTATGTCCTGCTACCTTTTGGAAGCATGCATTGGTGCAAATGGAGTCTATTGCCATATACTTATTAAGTGCCCCATAAAGGCTTTGGAGGAGGAAACGTCGTTAGTCTTGTACATACCATTGTACACAACCAGTTGGTGTCTAGTCTCTTAAAGGAAGTAAGAGGGAATGAGATAAACTGTTTATGTGCTAATATTCACCTTTTCCTGATCATTTCACATTCTCCTTATCATCTGCAGTTACTCCCCCCCCTTGTGATGCATTTTGTGTTCAACCCATATATCACAGATAGATTCTGCATTAAAGGTTTCTGATGTGTAAAGGTGCTCCAAAACACTTTGATGATTGAGATGTCTACTGATTATTAACTCATCACATGTCCAGTCACCCTCTGATTCCAACCCCCCTCCATGATGGTTTAATTATATGAATGTATCCCCATGTAACTCAGAAAAAGATAACACTTGACTTGGAATGGTTCCACATAACCAAGATGAAGTAGTGCTGGCAACCTGAAGGCAATGTAGTAGAAATCATCATAATCATTCACATGCCAGGATGTGAGAGAGAAGATTGCCTACAAGTCATTGAGTTGTGTTGTCTGTTCTCATATTAAATGCCATCTAATTTATGTTTGACAGATGGAAGTTGAAGAGTTTGCAAAGAGTTCAACTATTCTAAAAGAATCTGATGCCAAAGAATGGAAGACTCCTTCCGATGTTATGCAGCGATTTCAGCTTCATCGAAAGACATTGAAGGCTCGATTGAGACGACATCCAACAGAGAATTCATCTCATTCAACTTCTGTGATCACCTCCAACTCTCCAGAACTCTCAAACACTAGTACTGGCCGGGTGGAATCACATTCATTCCAACTTGAAAGCACTGGTACCTGTGCCAGAAAGAGAAGGAATCCCTTCAGGTTGGTGAATGAAGTTTATAGGAGTTGGGTGATGGCATCTTCTATATTCTACCCACATGTATCTTGGATCCCTCTTATTACTGCTTGCCTGTTTTCCCTGCCTAATTTGAATAAGCTTGGATATGTACAGGGTACATCATAAGCAACCAGCCATCATGGAACATTTATCATCCCTATATGTGATAATATTCTTTTGAAAAAAGAAGATTCATGCAGATAATGCCCTGAGAACTACATAATTACCATCCAGTTGTTTCTGTATGAAGGGTTTGAAACTATGCATAGCACTGAAGTTATGTTGCCTTCTCATGGAAAGAGGTAGCATTCTGCTTGTTCAATAGAAGCCCACAACCATCTTTCAAAATTTCTGGTGATATAAAGAAGTGCTTCTTGAGCATTTTTCTCTGCTGAGTGGTTGTCAACTTTGTGGAAGTAAAAAATGTACCTCAGATTTCCCAATCAGGTTTCAAATTATCTGAAGGTTCAGTTCAAGGAGTATTCCCTGAACTACACCATCTAATAGCTGTGCCACTAATACCTGTTTGAAAAAATTTATATTGATGGTAGTCTTTTTGGCCATGTAAGGAAGGACATTTGTGATGCCTAGTGATCTTAGAGTGTTTGTACTTGGATGTTTGAGCTTGGTTGCAATGCATGAAGCCTGAGCTGAAAAAAAATAATTCTTGGGAAATGAAAACCATAATGATCAAATCTTGGAAAGCCTCATGAACAGGATAGGATGCACATCTGCTACATGCAGGTGTCAAAGAAAATGCAAAGCTTTTCAGGGAAAGCATACTAGTCATGATTGAAAACCAGAAGGAGGTAAAATAGTGCAAACTGTAAAACAGAATGTTCAAACTAACCTCTTTAAATGGGTTTGATATGAAGACACGGTGGAAGGCCCACTTCTCTGTTGTTTATTATGCATTTCTGGTGCTTCAAGATTGCACAATATATCAGTTAGGAGTAATTACTTTATTTTTTGCTTCACCCTGTAGTTTGTAAATATTGTACTAGACTACTTATGATGCTAATAATGACAATTTATGACTCACTTTTAGTAAGTAACCTCACTTTTAAAACTTTTTGACATTGTTGCTATTCCTAATATTTTATAGTCTCTTCAAGAAAGTTTGAGATTTCATAACAGGAGAGAATGATGTATAGAAAGTTCATTTTCTCAGAATACTATTGTAATTGGCTATGATAAAATGGCCATATATATTCACATTTTGATATGAGGCCTACTGAATAAGTCAAGATGTATAGATCTTTCAGTCATTGCAGAGGAGAGAAAATTTTTTTTTGACTTCTGCAAGCTTTTATGATTGAGCTGAACAGTAAAAGAAAAAAAGATCATTCCTTCTGTTTGAAATTATCAGTAAAAAAAAGTTGACCCTGTTACTTTGTGGGAGAGTGGAAGTTTTATTTCTAGCGAAAATGCATAACTAATGGCATGCATCCATCGTCAACTTATTCCCTCTTTATTTTGTACCCTTGGACCATTCAGATTCACTAATTCTTCTGCATCCATAAACCATTGTTCTATAAGACATTTATTTTGAAAGTATATTTTCTTGTCTGTTTGCTATAGGCCCTTGAAATTGGAGTATAATAGTATTCATCTGAGCAGTTTTGCTTTCATTGATGTTTCCTATGGATTTGTTTTTCAGGTATGGAGCTCCAAAACAACCTCGTTTGGATGGGGACATAGATCAAGAAGATACCATGTTCCAGCTCCTTAACATGAACAAATCTGTTACTCCTTCAACCCTAGTTACCAGCTTCAAGAAAATACTAAGTACAAAGGATGATCCAAAGAGTGTGGTGAGTAAAATATTTAGGAATGCATGAAAATTGACCTTGCATGGTTAGGAATATACGATCTACTCCTGACTGAAATGAAAAGCAGACAGGCTCTTTGGACTTTCTAAAACAGGGGTTCTTAACCTGGGGTCCATGGACCCTCCACGGACCCCTGGGGGTCCATGGAAAATTAAATATATAACTGAAGGAAGCGCCCCAAAAACATCATTTATAATTATAAATCCAGGTGTTCCAAAGTTTCTGGTAACGGGGTGGGGGTCCATGGGTAATACTTGAGGATCTGGGGGGTCCATAGGTGCAAAAAGGTTATGATTCCCTGTTCTTAAGGATTTTGCCATCCAGCCATCATTGTGATTTCTTATTGCATATAAAGATGGATGCCAGTGTTGTATTTCAGCTTGTAAGTATTCAGAATCTTCCATTCTCTAATCTATGGGTTAATTTTGCATTCTTTGAAAGGGAAAGTTGATAGAAACTGATTTGATTTATATATTAGGGCTGTATTGATGCATTGGCAACCACTGGTATAAGCCACAGATATGGCAAAATTAGTGCCATTGCTCCTCAGGAGGTTTTAAGGCTGCTGATGCCCAAAGAAGAATGTGCCAAACAAAGAAAATTTAAAAAATCACGTGAATGCAGCTTAGTAAGTGTTTCTTAACAGTGATAAGGGAAAAATAGGGCTGTCACAGTGCATCAGTCAAAGTAAGGTGATTTGGGGGAATATGGACCTAAAAAATGGCACCTGGTCTTAACAGCCCATCACAGTCGAATTTTTACTTTTACAATGTTTCAGAAATAGATTGATATCTCCTTTACTAAATCCCAGCAAGGCACAGGCAAAAGACTGCATAGATATTACACCTTAGGATCATTTCCAAGTTGGTCCTAAGAGGCCATATTGGCCCCTATTGTTGGGGGAATATGGCCACTTCTTAAACAACTCAAGATTTTTGTGGTACATGTGAAATGTGCTGGGACATGCTGAGTACCTTGAAGCATAATAAAGGAGGCTCAGCTGTCAAAAATGAAACACATTAACTGCATTGAAGACGAGAACAAAAATCAATATCATTACCTGACTCAAGGACCTGTTGTGGAAAGCAGGATTGCAGCGCTTTTGGCTTTGAGTAGCATTACACATGAATGGGAGACCATATCTAGAGACTGTGGGAGCAATAAGAGTGATCAACCATAGATCAAAGTGAACATGTGTTACAGATGTGAAATAAGAGGTCTTACATAGCAGGGAAAACGTTGCATAGTTTTTGTGTGTATGTATAAATAGTGCAAAAAATCACAGAATGCCCTTTTAACCTTTTGTATGAGGGATATTTACTTGCATTCAAATTTCGTGCCACGAAAATGTCTGGAGTGTGTCAAGTGGATGTCCAGGAGGCAGTGCATGAGCATATCCTCATGCATCACCTCCTCCTGTACTGCATATTTTATCTGGATGTTCAGTATGTCTATCCATATATCCAGAAGAAGTGCATTTGATGATCTTTTGCTGCCTGATGTCCCACATGACAGGAAGCTTCACTACAAATAGGTCAGTGTGGTGATACCATGAAGTGAAGGATGTGCCCTTATTACCCCAAATTGAGATGGCCATATTTCCCCATATTGGTTTGCATGACAAAATTGACAACATTATTCATACTGCATGTGGAATCACTTTCCACAAGCATTCTGGAGGGACCATAGAATAACTTTGAACAAATTGTTTTGTATCCAAGCTGCTTTTAGGAAATTATACACTTGAATTACTGAAGGCTAATATTAGTTTCAGGGTCATGAGTTGAAGAATCACATGACTTTCATGAATCACATGAATCACATGACAGACTTTCAAAACATCAAAGTATCCCAAATTCCTGTGAAAATCTTTTGAAGATCAGGTCGAAACATCTTGACAATTGCATGCACTCTTCGACAGAGCTATTTTTAAATTTCACCCAAACTAATTATTCAGGTTGTTAGGGGATTCATTGTGAAGGGCCATAGATTTCATAGGTCGTTGGGGGGATCAGTTGAATTTTTATATATTACAAGTGTCACATCCCACCTTGCTCATGGATGAAAGATGATGGAAAACTGGAAGTGCTCTATGCTCCGATCCAAGCAAGGAGCGACAGAAGTTGAACCTCTACCCAATGACAAGAGATGCCTGAATTTGGCAGTATCCATCCCTCTCTCTCCTCCCTTGCCCCATGATGCATCAATGCACCATCAATAGTTTAAGTCGATACATTTTTTATTTTTCAAATGACCATCATGACAGCCCCCCAAAAAAAACTAGAGCATGACTTCCTTATTCGAATAAGTGTTTTATATCATGATTCTTCATTCTTCATCTTCAAATTGCTATTGGTGTTAACCATTGGGTGTGAGATCAGAATCAGCCATTGGCCCTTCAGCCAAATGTAGCCGCCAGTACAGCCCCAGTATATATGTGCATGCTTCATGAAGTCTGCATTGCTGTTGATTAAATTTTTCGAGTATCTTAAAACTGCAGTGCATTTAAAAGAAATTCTTTGTGATATGAGCTAAGCCAAGGATTAGACTTTCTTGTGAAGTCTAGGTCCAGTGGCCCAATGGCAAAAGTGCATTGCCATATTGAAGGTGGTTTTGTGGAAAATTGAAACACACACATATTACAGGTTTTGGTGTAATGTAATGGTTGTAGCTGTTACAGTGTTGATGAAATACTGTAAATTGTGTCTGAAAACTTTTAGACCAACCCTTGTATCAGTGCAAAGTACTTTAATCAAAATAATTGTTTGCTTGTTTGAATTCTGCTTTTTCCTTCATTTCTTTGAATTCACATCTCTGAAAAGCCATACCTGATAGTAAATCAGCCAGATGATTGATATTACTATTTCCTTAGAGTCAACAGGTTGATGGAGAATTTGGAAAAGATGACCTGCAGTGGACCAAGGAACTTCAATTTGATTGGACCATCAAGACCAGGCTGAGGCTAACGTCCACAAAACCTCTGCCAGGATCCAAGATCTTAAAAGTTAGTTGAAGCTATTTGCTCACTTTTTGGAGGCAAGATAAGCTTGACTGGAAAATAAGCAGCAAAAAAAAAAGAAATTTAAATATTTTTTTATTGGATGGTTTTAAAATATAATTTAAAAAATGGATTTTATCAGCACATGAGCATGCATACATCTGTAGTCCCAATCAATCCAAGAAATAAAAAAGATTGCTTGGAACAATGCTTTTAACATTTGCCTCTTCTGAATTTTCTAGGAATCTGACAATCTTGGAGCAGAGTAATGAAATCCCAAATGTAATCCCAAGACTTAGTTTCAAGGTCCTTGACAGCATTGTTCAAGACATTTGTACTGTATTTCACAGTAGTTTGGTATAGTTTTAAGCTTTGATAGGTTTTTCATGCATTGGAATTGCATTGGAAAGTGGAGAAGACAGGCCTCTTATCAGCTTCTTATCTGCTGCTACTTACCTGTGTATGGAAATCATCTGAAACAAACACATGTCCTAAAAATCCAAAAGCTATTGAGAAAACTGCAAAAATCCAAGGCACATGCCCCAACACCCTAGGTCACCTCATGCTTGAGCACAATAACTGTTTAGGTGTACTGCAAAATTAAACAAAACACCCTTCACTACCTGCATATTCTGTTGATGACATCTCATTTATCAGTTTAACCAAACACCAGGAGAAACAGTGTACTGCCAGCCACCAAAAATATATTTTAAAAAGCTCATTCATGTTCTGCATGATAAAAGAAAAACACAAGCAGTACAAAAATTTTTTATTGCAGTTATTATTCTTCAACCAAGTAGACTGAAGGGAATGTCTACTGAGTCCATTAATCTAATGAGGTGGTCTCAGTTTTACCAACATGGCATGTTTTTCCTGTCTGTTTTTTCTCACTTTTCTACCTTTTTCCTTTCTCAGCAAAACCAGGAATGTAAATGTGAGGTGCATAGAGTGGGAACTGATGGTCATCTGTGATGCATCTTCAAAATATGACCTACCTTGAACTAATACAATACTTTGAACTTATATAACTACAGGGTGTCCATAAAGTGACTACCAATGGGTAGCTTTTTTCATATTGAATCTGGGGGAACCCCCTTCATTTTTATAGCCTGATTATCAATAGACACTGAAAAGAGAATATCTCTCACGTTGTGTGCCAGATAAGTGAGGGAATTCTCACAGATGTTGGCAAAGATGCAATTGCCAGGACTCAAAAATGCCAAGATATCAGCAGTTGACACATTAAACACTTCGTCGAACAAACTCCTAATTTTTATTATTTTATTCAATAAATTCCAAAGACACTCCATTACTCAATCAATGCCATGATGATTACAAGAAGTTAGTGCAATAAGATTAAAGGCAAATTTTTCACTGAACTTCAGTCTCCATTTCTTTTCCATTCAAATGAAAAAAATAAAAAATTTTGAAGCACAATATCTTGGATATTGATTCTCAACCATGTCAAAGTGCTTCATACCAAAGGTATACTCTTCTAGTTCTTATTTTTTACTAGTAGGTACTTGAGCTGGTCCACAAAATCAATGGAGGTCAATTAATGTACAGTATACCCTTGTATGGTACCCTTGATAGAGTAGTCATCAATTTTCCAGATTTCCATGCAACAGTGGAGACAGTATTGAACCATTGAGGCTTGTTAGGGTGGGCTGCCAGGTAGGATGAAGATTGGTAGCCTTGCAAATTTGTTATTATTCCTCCTATAAATTGCTGAAAGGATCTTATTTCCTAAAAGGAATGACTTACAGGATCTGATAATGCATCTGTTTGCCTGTCTTTCATGGTAACATGACAACTTGGAGGCTACTGGTTTTACTGGTTTACAACTTTCATTTTTCAACATGATTCTAAGCTTCCACTAATGTCTGTGAATCCATTTAAATTCAGAATTACCACTAGTGTCGGTTTTGAATGCCCCCCATGGGCTGTACAAATTCCCTCCCTCCCCCATTGAGATACTCAAGGCTCCTCCCACAACACTAGGCAGCAAAATCTTAAGAATGGTTTGGAGATGGAGGGGCTTAACATCTGGTATTTGAAAGTTTTTTATAGTCTCAATGGATCCAAATTAAGAAAAGTCAACGAGTCCCTGGAGAAAAAGTTTATGGAGATCCTTTTGTAATCATATTGTAATCAGTATGACCTTCATACCATTCTTCCAGACATCAGAGGAGGCATCAGGCACGACAGCTTTTGTCCGAAACCTGGACCCCAGTTCAGAAGTATTCAACATGGATACAAGTTTCAATGCTCAGCTGCAGAGGATGCTGGGTTATTGGCAATATCCATCATTCCCATGGATTGAGATGTTCCCTCGGCGACCCATGACTATGGGAAATCCCCTTCCTTCTATGCAGAATCCCAAGATACTAGACTCTCTTTTGCAATCTTGGTAAGTCTTGAATCCCAGTGATAGGGTAACCCAAGCTGGTCATGACCTGGCATGCTGACAAACTGCAGAAGGCAATCTTCTTGCATTTTTCAACAGCCACTAAATGGTTGCAGCAATTTTTTGTCATTCTTGCAGATGAAAGAGAGTCCAGGTGTTGGAGGCTGTTGCCTTCACAGGGAATTATAACAGGCACACAAGAGATGTGCATAGATCCAATGCAAAAATTTATGAACCTATGCAAGAAAATTGATTCCCTTTTTGAAAAAATCCAAATGCCATAGTTCCATGAAATGAGTTGAGGTAAAAGTAGTGGTAGACTGGGAATTAATTTTTTCAAATTCTTATATATAGGCTTATCTTGTATACTATTAATAATATTCCCACTCATTCTTATGAAGTCCAAAATAACTTGAATATCTTCATTAGTGCTTTTCATTTTGCAAATTTTATCATACCCCAACATCCATATTTCTTGAATGCTCCAAATCACAGCAAAAAGTTTAAATACTATTTTTCAAGAGAACCAGGTACAGAAGCATTGAGAAAAAATGTTCAGATAAGATTAACTTTTTAAATGTATCATATGGACTAGATGAGTCTAGTTTAGAAGAAACTATGGTATACTGACTGCAAATTACACTCCCTCCTATGAAATGGTTAAACCATCTATTATCCCATTCCTCCCAATTTTTCCTTTGCTCATGCATTTCTTTTGTTTTTCCCAACATATTTAGGGGTGTTGGAATGTCAACCAACATGTGGTTATGCTATGGTCTTGCACATTCCTGAGGACAGCTATGAATTCACTTAATTTGTACATTTTGCCTAAATTGAATGAGTCCTTTGTAACTTCTATTACTTTAGCATTTTCAGTATCTTCATAGATGTTATCTTGCCAATTAACACATTGAAGACTGCCAGCATAGATTTACATTGTGGGAGGACTTTCATGTGTTTCCAGTTCCATAAATCTAAATGGATTCTCTGAACATTCCTGAGCAATTTGGTGTTTTGAACATGTAGGTATGTATCATAGTTTGCAAGTTATCAATTTTTTGTAAAATGAAGTAAAATAAAGATTTTTTCTAAAAATTGCTGGTACCCAACAGCTGAACAAGTGTCAGGTACCTGTTCCTCAATGTGTTAAAAGTATAATCCCTTACTGACAGCATGAGCACAATACATGAAACAGAATCAAATTGAGTGTATTCATTTTCACGTGAACCTTACAACCATGAACTGTCTGTTTGTAGCTTGCTATTTTATTGTATTTGGTTGACTGTATGGTTTTTTAAATTAATAAATTAGTATAACATTGCAAAATCCCTTTAGCACAAAATAAACAAAATCTCTAAAATTTCCTCATAGTGCCTTAATAAAATTTAGTAGTCAAAGGGTTAATGGAAGCAACATCAAACCAGTTGAATGGATTTTCTTTGGTGCCCATGATAAAGTTGAATGCATTTGGCTTGGATCAGATGCTTGTGGCCTCATAATTACATTTTAAAAATATATATTATGATTACTGGATGATGTAATGCTGATTTTCCAGAGTGATGTATGGCAGACAATTGTGTTGTAAAAATGTACATTAGAAATGAACTTGAGTAAGTCTGCAATATTTATTAGCATATTCCTTTCCTAGCTGAAACATATAAGCAGTTAAATGGTTGCCTTCGTTTGTGTTGTCACAGCATTGTGTAGAATCTTTATTTCCCTCAGTTCATGAAAATTGAGATAAACTTAGCTGGGGATTTGGTGATATCTATCATGTTGACACATGGATTGGATTGGATTATTTGGTGCATCTTTTTCAGGAGGGAAAGTTTTAGGAGTTTATGTCAGCTGGTGCGTGCACGCCAGTGTCCCTATTTCTACATCCTTTCACATGCATTTACATGCCTGGTGAGGGCAGGAGGAGTTGGAGGGATCCCTGATATGCATATTCTGCTCACTCCATCTACACGAGGTTTCAGAGAGGCTCTCCATCAAGAGGGTTTGTATTCAGTAAATCTTTTTCTTTCTATAACTTGAGTCACTATAATTCTACCTCTTTAGGTACTGCCTTCATGTTTCAATTTGATTTATTGAATTTCTTCATTCACAGGTTTATTGTAGGTATATGTATATCTGGAAAGCCATTTTAATTCTTTGTAGCATGTGGCAGCCCACATATTATGGGGTGGTTGGTTTGAGAATGGTAGTGCATAGAGTAGGATTGCTTGGAAGAGAAAGTAGTGCAAGATTAAAATATGGTCTCTCATTTGGTTAAGTTGAATGTTTCATGAAGCCTGCTCCTACCAGTGTCTTTATGGGACCTCTTTAATTAGAACTATTAACGTGAAAATGAATTACACCTACAGATTCTCTGTTTGCATCTGTCCTTAAACAAACTGAACTGTGTGCTAAATAAATATGGAAATTTATTCTAGGAAATTTTTTTTTCTGTATTTAATATCTTTCCAAAGTTGCCAGCCATGGACTCAGAAATTTAAATCTGTGAGATTCAGGTGCACTTTCTATTTCTGCATGTTCGCCTCATTAACCCAAGTGTTTTTGGACATAATATGAGGTATTTTCGAAAAGTCTTTGGACTTTTTCAATAACAGTGGTATTCTAAGAATTATTGTCAAGCAGGGGTTACTGTACTTCATCAACAAAGTCTCCACCAATTGACACACTTGTGTCAATGTTCTGGAAGTTTGTTTAGTCCCTCTTTTAACTTTTGGGGTAGATCAAACCCACTGGTGCACCACCCAGTCAAATGTCTGCATATTTGAAAGTCTTTGCCCTCTAAGGGGCTTCTTCATGGCACCAAAGAGCCAGTAATCACTTGATGACATATCTGGTGAGTAGAGGGTGTTGTAGTACCTTGAAACCCATGTCAGCTATGGCATTCAATGTTTGGCAGCTTGTATTCATTTTTGCATTGTAATGCTGCAGCAGAACACATGCACTCAATTTCCCTTTGTGTTTTGACATGATGGCACCTTTAAAGTTTGACAGGATACTCATATAATATTCACTGTTGATGGTTTGCCCCTCTGGATGCCACTCCAGAAAAAGAACGCCCTCTGTGTCTCAAAAGTCCATTGCCATTCACTTACCAGCTGATGGTGATGTTTTCACCTTTTTGAGTGGAGGACTCTCAACATGCTTCCACTACTTGGATTGTTGTTTTACCTCTAGTTCGTGGAAGTGAAACCACATTTTATTGCCAGTAACAAGGTGTCTGCAAAAAAAGTCTGGATTACTGTTGTGGAGGCAGAGCACTTCTGCCCTCGTCTGCACCCATGGTGCCTTCAGTTCCTCTGTCAACAGTTGTGGCGCACAACATGCACAAACCTTTCCCAGCTGCAGATTATCATTTAAAATGGAATTAATAAAACCAGCTGAGATCCCAACTGTGAGAATAAACTCCTGGTGCGTGATTCGTCTGTTGTTCATGACCAATCATTCAACAGCTGCAATGCTTCCTTCTGTAGTAGAGTTGCTTGGTCTACCAGATTGTGGCCTGCATCTTCAGTCATTTGACAACCACCTTTAAAAGAAAGCACCTAGTTATAGACAAGTGTTTTAACAGGTGCACACACTACTTGAAGCCTGCAAACAATGTGATGGTCTTATCTCATGGCCTTGAAACTTTGCACTATTTTTTTGCACATCTCTAGGAGTTGAGTCATGTTTCATTGATAAAATGAAATATAGATCTTGGTAACTGGGGTTATTAGTGGGACTCCATGGCCACTATTGAAGTTAGTTGCTTGGCAAGTTTTTTTAGTGAATGCTCAAACTGCACCCTTGAAACTCTAAATTATTTCATCAAGATTGCTCTACTCCTTTTGGTTATGCTTTTAAATTGAAAATTAGTTTATTTTGCTTCATTGGTATCAAATATGCAAATATCTTGCTTCCAAGCACCAAGTGCTCTGCAAAATTGATTATATTTTAGGTTTTAGTCTTTTTTTTTCACTCTTGATTTACTTTACTTTATTCTTCTCTACAGATATTGAATTTTCAATGCCATTGAGGAAGGGAATGGAAGAGAAAGTGAGCAAGCAGAAAGCAGAGAAAGAGAGGGGCAAAGAAGATGAGGGCTTTGACAGCTTGGGATCATCAGGAGAAGATGATGAGGTAGAGAAGAGGGAAGAGCAACATTGTGAAAGCCTTGGCTTTGGAGAAGATGCCTTGGATGAGGATGAAGACCTTGATGAAGAAGATCTTCATTGGCTTCAAAGCATTGGTGTTCAATCTCATGCCTCCATAAGGGATAGGCTGTATCCTTTCATCTGAGTATATATTTTATGTTGTCAGCACATTTCACCATCCATCTTCAAGAAAAAATTTTTTTATAAACTATTTCCCTTAATGAGGCACAGCAGGTGATAATAAGCTCATATTGAAGTGCATAGCACAGTGCATCATTTGCTTGTGCTTGACTTTCCATAATCAAAACATTTAAAAGTAAAATAGGTAAGCCAAATTCAGTAGTGGACCTTCATTTACTAGAGAGGGGCATTCTGTCCGCCATACCTGACCCTTTCCATTCATGGGTAGGTCGCAGCAAAACATTTTAGGCTTTTTTCCTGCAAATTAAGATGATTGAGATCCAACTCATACATTTGTTGAATGAACAGGGTCATCAGAAAAAGACGCTCTAGTTTTCATCATGAGTATTTTCTAAAATAACACACAGAATCTGGAATTATAGCTTACAAAACACAGGATGTTTAGGAGTTTTTAATTATGAAAACGCATTTTAAATGTGGGAGCCTCCAGCATCCATGATCCTCTGCAGGCGTTCATCGAGGTCAACAATAACAGCAAATAGTGTTTGCTGATTAATGCTTTCCGCAACAGTTCTGATTTCCACCTTCAATTCTTCGACCGTATGTGAGTTATTCTTGTAGACATTAACCTTTAGAAGTCTCCATAAAAGTAATCACAGGTATTAAGTTCAGAAGAGTGTGGTGTTCTTCAACATCCACATCCAAAGTGACTGTGATATCCCTTCTTATTGTCCTTTACATTACCAGTATTTACTAGTTTTGTTACTGGCCAGTTTATTGCAGATGTGCTTGGAGTGTCCCTATGTCAAAATTCACTTTGAAAACCACACTGCAATTTAATCATGCTGCCAGTTCAATAAAACGTTTTCACCATAAACACCTGCTGTTCTGTGATGTATGCTAGCTTGTTTGCTACTTTTTCTCAAAATTAGCACTATGACTGCATAGTATGATACAAAACTCCCAAGCCTGATGTGTCAAATGATACCACATATGAGGTTGTCATATGGTTTTGTCATCATCTGTTGATATTTAGTGATATGGAAGCAATTTGAGTGGAAGCAGGTAGAAACATCTCATGAACAGGGATTCTCCCCTTGGTTGAACTGAATCTTCATTGCTTTTTGTTATTTTCTTCAGCTGTAAGAGGGGAGGACTTCTTCAGATGCACTTGCGTAGTTGGAAGCATCTATGGGGGTTTTTTTTTTTTAGGACTAAGCCCCTTCACCTTAAATGGTGTTCAATTGATTCTGCCTCTTCAGTTGAGGGAAAAATAACTTTAAAGACAAGCCCCGATCTGGCTGCCCTCTGGGAGCAGTGACTCAAACATGCATTTACATGATGCATTCACTGATAAGAATCTATTTTGATGTGAAACTCTTTTAATATCTGGAACAATTCAATGTTTGCATGAATAATTGTCAGAGGACATGCAGATCAGGGATTACCTTCAGTTATTTTTCATGCATGGGATGAGGTTCACAATTTGAACCATACTTGCTACACTTGAACCAATTTGCCTTCATTTGTTTGTGAAAATATCTATTTAAAAAATGTGGAGTCATCTTCATTGTATGAGGGAGTTTTCAAAAGTAAGTCAATAAAGTTATTTCATGTTAACTGTTACAGGTATGAGGTTGACACTGAATACAAGTGTTTAGCCATGTTACCCAGGAATGTCCTATTTTCACCCATAACCTGTCACATTCCACACATTTTCTCTGGCATTTAGTGAGGCATTGGAGCCTACATGGTAAAACTCTCTTAGTTTTCTTTTTCCAGGGTGTTCCTTTTTCTGCTCATTCTCTCAATGACATGAACTCATAATTCAAAATTGGCAACATTTAGAGAATGAGTACATTTTGTGAAGTGGGACAATTTAATGGCTATAAATTTTGCTTTTCATAAAAACAAATATGGCTTTATGAATATGACATGACTTTATGAAGAGTAGTCCTTGTGATTGACCATTGATAATCTTTTAATTTTTTCATGTACACCTTGTGAATCTCAAGCACCACTGGTAAAAGTTATAGAATGCTCCCAGGAATGATGCTATGGCAGATCTGACTTGCTTGTGTTTCATTGGGATTTTGAAGTAACAAACTTACAGCTGTTGCTTTCAGCTTTGCCTAGTTCCCTATCTTGTGACAGTAATGCGGAATCGCTTTCAAAATCTGATTTTTTTTTTCATAGCAAAGCACAAATAATGCCTGTAGGATTTAAAGAATGAAATATTGCTTAAATTGCTTTTCAATGACTCCGTCATCACCAACAATGCATCAATTATGAATATGATCTGGAAAATCATCCTCCTCAGGGAACAATATTATTTTAAGGGTGGACTTCATACTTTGATACTAATAGCAAGCATAGATTTTTTTCATGATACATTCTGAAACTTTTATGGTTTCTTTTGTGCCTTCATGTGCATATAAGTCCTTTAGCTCGATACCCATTTGGCATATGATCTCCAAATGGTATAGTGAAGTAGAATTGATTGAAATTGTTACTGGTGTAATATTCCTAATGCACCTTGACAAATGCATGAATGACAGTCAAGAGGACCCAGAAAGGGAAGTGGACAACCGGCCAGAATCTCTGCTTCTCATTCAAGGAGGAGATACACACACTTTCATCAATTTTCTTCTCAATGCCAAAAGCCTTGTAGCCCCTGTTGGGTTCCATGCTGGTTTGCCTCCAACTCTGCTTGCTCCAGCTGCTTTCGCAGGAGCTCAACTAAACTTCCTTCATGTAAGTGGAATGGCCTTGTTGGAGTTTTCTGTTTCCCTTTTTGTGCTATTTCTTAACATGCTTCTCATTTTTGTACACCAGCACTGACAGGCATTTCCACCAATTTGACACTATCCCCACTTGAGTGGGCTCATGGAAATTTTCTATTCCCCCTTGTTTTCTGTTTCTGGAGCATATCTTATTCCTCCAAAGACATTGTTAACTTTGTGATGAGTACTGGCAATGCTGCAATTCTGTTATCACATGTGTGTAATGTAACAATTTGCATTCCTTTATCCAAAACCCTAGATAACTCTACAACAAAAGGCACATATATAAAAAAAAAAGTGCACTATGGTGCAAAATTAAAAGACATGCAAAATCAAGTAGTTAGGAGTATTTTTGTTAGCAATTTTTATTTGAAAATCTGCAATTTTTAATATTTCTACTTTCATTTTTGTACTTGTCATTTTGTCTCTCATCCTATTGCCACTTGATTTGCTCTCTAATGGTGTCATGTCCAATTAGGAGAAAAGTGACAAGGTGAGAGGATTTCCTCTTTTCACTTGTGTATCATTTCCACTCATGTAGTCTTGAAAAACATAAGCACCACTAGGTTGTATGTTTAAAGGCAGAAAAGAGGAGACACCAGCAAATGCCCAAACTTCGGAGACCTTGTATACCTCTCATCAGTTCTCTTGTTGGAACATGCTAATCTATTCAATGAAGTTTTATAAAATAGTGAAGCAGAAATAAATGTTGGGTATTATTTCTTGGGATGAAATTATGCGTGATTGCTGATAAGATTTTGGACACCAGGGTAGGAGTTGGTCATGCCTCTTTTTCTCTCTCAGATGTCAAGAGGGCAGGTTCAAGAAGGCCAGAAAGTGAGACATACTCTGGAAATACGTGGACCAATTCTACCTCAAGCACTACTTTCAATCCTGCATCTTGTGGCTGTGCATGTTGAAGAGTATCAAGCCAATGCATCTGCAATGAGAGACTGCTCCAGTTTTAATGCTTATGTGACCGAGGATAAAATGATGGTCTCTTCTGTCTTTACTGAACACAGTCTACATGACTGTGGCTTGCCACAATGGCTCCTCAAGCCCCTATGCAATGGAACTGTACTTGCACATCCTACCCTTGATCAGGTTTCTTGTAGATCGTCTCAGTTCTATTATTCTTCTCACCCTCCTATTTGATAGTTCGTGTTCAAGTAGCTGTATTATTCCATCTTCTTTTGCTGGACCACTTATGACCTGTTTGAAGTATTCTCTGAGGGTAGGAATTCAGTGCTAAGTTTTAAAGCAAGCCATTGCTGATGATGCTAACAATGAAGCTCCATATTTAATTTTTGCATTTGCACACATATTTCAACCAAGAAGTCTAGTCATGGATGTCTTGCTTTGCATGACAGTCTGGAAACTGCTCTATGACCTCATCTGCCTTTTCTTCTCTGAATACTTTCTGTAAGTTCAGCAATTTCTATTTAAATTGGGGATTGGAAGATGTCAGAGCATTTTGCCTCCAGTGCAAGGTATGTTGGGCTGCTAAAGACCATCTGCTGATTGTGTTTCAGCACATGCCTTATTGATGTACTAGATGCCAGGAATATGTGCAGCTGCCAAATGTTATATGAGATGATGATCCCCAATCTTGTGTTTCATATGGGATGAGAGTGGTATCCTGAAGTTGCATTCAGTTGTGATCTGTGTTGATGCAACCTATTAATACTGATGATATTTGTAGAATGGAAGAAGGTACAAGTTTCCTGTTCTTATGTTTGTGGATTTAGAGGGTCAGAGGACTGCAGAAAATGCTGCTCTCTGCTCTATTAAAGGGCTCAAGATTATAGGGAGATTTGTATTACTACTTGCAGGTTTGCAGGAAATCTGTGTACAATTTGAAGATCAGTAATGATTTTCCATGGCAGACTATGATAGTGTGCATAGAGAAACAGGGATAAATGCCTCTACAAGAGACAGGATTGGAGAGACTTAACTCTTAGATATGGGAAATTCAAATGCCACAGAATAACATGAACAAAATGTTACTTATCCCCATTATAATCTTGGGCCCTTCGAGTACTCTTGTATGATAAGAACTTCTAGTGTACTGGTTGTCCAAGTATCTTCCACTGAATCATGTGGCAGATTTTATGGAAATGGGAGTATTGCATCAAGTCTCTGCAGACAGCATCATGGAAGACTTCCTTGGAATGCTCTGCATCATCCGTGAAAGTGGAAATATGAAATACTACTGTATGGAATTCCTGCCTCATTAGCAATCAAATTTGGAGTAGAAGGAGAATGAACACCTGAATTTATGCCTTGTGTTTGTTTTATTGACTTCTGGACCTCCATATCCCCTTGACAATCGCATTAAGCGCTCCAACTGAGTTTATTTCTCATTGCTTTGCATTCTCTCTGAAGTTGTTAGAATGCCTGATCATTCAAATTCCTAGACCTCCTTGATTGTGCTCTGGTTTGGGAAAATGTAGATGCTGCTATCTGGTGCTGGAGCAGTGAAGGGAATGGAATGCAAAATTTTAATTTTCACTTCTTGTATAACACAAAGCATTATTGCCATAGACTGATTTACTACGTTTCAAAACATCATGATGGCAACCCACGCCAATAGTCATGAGCATTTCTAACACTGAACCCAGTCCTTGGGATCACAATGAATTCCTTTGCCGGAGAAGGCTGCTATCACTCATAAAAGATTGCGAGCAGTAGGGACGTGGCCCCCTGAAAATCTGGTAAGGATTCACATTCATTATGTATTCATTCGCATTTCGTCAATGACGGCACTCGACTGAAATTGTGAATCTCGAATCACAACAAAGGAACGGATGTCAACAGACTTAACCATTGAATGCATGATGCAGCAAATATGATACATTCCAAAGTAAAATATTTAGAATGCGTAGGTAGCGGCTCAAGCGGTAAGTCAGTTCGTAGCAGATGTGCGACAGACCAGTCCTTGTACCTCGTACTCGAGCTGTCGCTAGGTGTCCTACACTCCGATGGCAAGCAAATTAAACATACACGGCTTCGTCGTGTGACACTGACGGTTTTGATGCAATCATTTTCAACTTTACGCTAATCCAGGGTCCAGGTTCATTCGAATTTTTTGCATTATCTTTTGCGTTGAGGTATCCACAAACGTTGACTGACTTGACGGAGCTCTCTAGCCTCCATGCAAACGTGAGTTAGAAAGTTGAAAATGTTTGTGGCAAATGCGCGACAAAAATATTTCCAGGCAAATTTGAGGAAGGCATTTTTTTCCACTTCTCCCATGTTCTAGGGCCTAAGTAAAGCCTACCAGATTTCTTCCACCGAAAAATAAAAAATCATGCATTAAAGGGTTAAGCTTTACCACTGCAATGTATTTTCTTCCTGCATAAAACCTTTTTATTGTCTTCAAAGGTCATCTCGAAACAAAATATCAGGCCGATTTTCGTGAAGCCTGCGGCATTTAGATTAAGAATGTGGCACGGATATGTGTTTCATACTCTCTTATTAAACTCTCTCATTTGTTGGTTCAGATGTTTCTTAGCAACACCTACCGAGTAATTCAGGGGACTAGTATTGTCACTGCCTCGATATATAGGAAATAGGCAAGAATCGGAAAGAGATATTTTAGTCGGGATATACTTTTTGTTTCGTTCTCAGCTGGAGAATCCGTGCGATCATATTCCCCAAGTTATTGATTTACCCAAGATTGAAGCTTTTTTCCTTTCGCCAGAGTTTTGTTTCCTTAGGCCCGAATGCTGAAACCTCCTTTAGTTAAAGGTCCTTTAAGGAGAAAACAGACCGTTTGTTAAAAGCCTCTTTATCTCGGAATGCGCAAACCTACTTTAACCTTCCGCTAGCTAACGGTCCTTTAACTAAAGGGGCTTTTAGAGAGAGGTGTGAAAAGGCACATATTGGCATCACTGTAGATACTACTCTAGCGTAGTTCTTCGTTTAAAGGCCTAATTTGACGGGAAATGAGTCAAAGTCGCGTGAAATAAACACGGATGGGTGAAGTTGATTCAGCGCAAGTGGGCTGAAGTGGTAAAACGTGCACTTTGGCGGAAAAACGAAGTGAGGAGGGTTTCGTTTTCCCAAGTTGTTACTTTCTTCCCGACGGTAAGCAAAACCTGGAGAACCAGCTCAGTTATGGATGAGTCACTTCACTGACCACCATGACACTGAGGTTACCTCCCTTCGCTATTTCGTAGTCATCCAACTTTTCCGCAAGCAAAAGCCGTCATGTCGATGACTTGCATAATCAGGTGATAGGAGGAAAGTAAAGCCTGCGGGATGCGAGATGCGGCATTCCTTGGGATCGGCCCACAAACTTGCCTACACTGCCATAAGAAGCCTCTCTCTCGTCTTGTCCAACTATGGATCCGTCAAATGCAAGCGCCGGAAGGAAACTGGCTGTGTTTGCCGGTGACTGACACCCTGACCCAGACTCCATGCTGCACGTGAGCAATTTGTCAAATTCTCTGGTTCCAAAGGCTAATGTGGATAGTCGAAATGAAGACAGAATAGAAAAAGTGGTAAACCAACCATAAAATCTTCCATTTTCCGATTGGTCACTTTTGGAATAGCAGATAGAAATTCAGGGCTGGTATCTCGTTTGCACCCAGACATTCAGAGTGGTTATAAAGTCTTGCAATCACTTCTGGGAAGAATAACTCCATAGCAAATCATCCAAATTACATTAAATTCACAGGGTGTACATGTTGAATCATGGAGATGTGAATGGAATAGCAAAAACAAGTGGCGCTACATTAAGTTACAACTGTTCGATATGTGCCCCGTCTTGATCAAGAATGGAATTGAGACGCTTCAAATTTCTGGACGAGGCGGTGAACGGTTGACATATTGCAAGGACCCCGCCATAAGTTTCTTTGCCTCCGGAAGTCTCGCAGAACTGTAGCAGCGCTTTATTCTGCCTGGTAGAAAAGTTTCATGAGAAGCACTTTCTCCTTTGAAGTCATGATGACCGATGCTGACCGATGAGCCAATGTACTCCTTTTATAGTGCGCACAATTAGATAAATGATCGTCACGTGGTGGCAAATGTTACAACTGTAGTCATTCTAATCCCCATGACTCCATACTTAGACTCGATTAATTTCATGCAAAACGAATGCACTGTTATGGAGTTATTTATCTTGAAGGCGATTGCAGGACTTTATAAATACCCCGTATATATTCAAGTCCGATCATCTCACATGAATTCTTCTACGACACACCTTCCAGATCAGTCGCGACTGTCTTTTTGTGCTACCTTAATTTAGTTTCGCGCAAACGATCATGAGGTCAAAGAAGTGGGCCATGAATTTTGATATTAAAGAGATGCCTTGCGCCAGTGTGTCGCAGGAGAAATGAATGTTGCCTCCTCCTCCATTTCAAGAAACGCACATTGTCCACAGACTGCGTGATTCCTGGACTTCCAATGAGCCAATGCCAATGATGATCCGAAGAAGAAACGCCAGTTATTAAGGGAAAATCCCCCATTTACGAGATAAAGTAGGGCCCAGATCTACTTTATCTTTTTGCCAGTTAGAGGACTGTTTAACTGTCCGCTTAAGTTAGAGGAGGTTTGCGCATACGAAGATAAAGGAGCTTTAAGTTAGAAGAAGGTTGTGCATTCGAAAAAGAGCTATTTAGCTTAAAGGCCCCTTTATCTCTCCTAAATGAGGTTTGTGCATTCGGGCCTTATATGGGAGATGTGAACATCCCTTTGTGCGAACAATTCCGGAATTACAGTAGAAGTGGACCGTGGACGTAGTTGGGACGGTCTATCGAACTTGATTGGAAGAAGTGGAGGGGATGGGTGTGAGTTCGAACGCTCTCCCCGTCATGTCATCGTGGATCCGTCCAGTGTCCAGATCAAATGAAAGCTGAGGATTTTCGTGTCCAAACAGTTCCATCACCCTCGATGGTCTTGTGACGACCTCTCTCCTCTCACTTGCGGACGGAAAGTTCCCACCTTCCTGGACTGGACGCCTTCGATTCTTTCCTCGCCCTCTCCGACGCCTCCCCCGGTTATTGCTGCTTGGGGAAACGGAGAATGTAAAGACTGAGCCCCACAATTCGAAACCGGTCTTCGTTCGATGGTAAAGAGTGACATCATGGTCTCACGTGGAGGATTTGTTTTCGACGAATCGGGGCGGGGATTTGAATTGAGGAGTCTGAGGGTGTAATGGTTTCCATGGAGAATGGGAGGCATTGACGTACGAAGAGCTGTCCCCTTCTTCATCGTCTCCCTCGCCGTTGCCCACATCTACCTTCCCGCTACTTGGACCTGCAGGTTGATTCCTCGGGGTTCCTAGGACAACTTCACCTGCTCGGTATTCTCCATACCCTTCCTACAAACCTCAGGGAAGACGAAGTCCATATAGGCTACAAGTTCGTTCCAGAAAAGGAGAATGTAACGCAAAACTGTACTTGGCTTCCTTGATATTCTTCTTCGGGTCCAGGACCGTGATTATAGTCCCAATAGTGCTCTCCATACGATCCAGATTTGTCACCCCAGCGCACCTGGCACACAGACATCGAGATTATATTTTCTTGGTCATACGTCGTAAGTTCCGATTTTAATACTGAAGGGATGGACAGACTTTGGTCTTGAAATCGTGTTGATTGCCAGCTTTTTCATATCGTTCGATGAAATGATTCTCGTCTCCTCTTCTGTAGCCCATTTCGTATTCCTTTTCCCCCGGTGAGTGGGCGTACCTGAAATGGGACAAAAGTAAAGCATGTAGAAGAGCTAAAGGGTGGGACAAAAAAAAATTCTGTTATTTTAAACGCTTTACAGAGTACTTTCTCGAGAGTTTGAAAATATTGCAATAACATCTCTATATAGAACATTTATATTGCTTTCCACTGATGTCAAAAGATTTAAGATCCAATCCGTCATTCCGATGCAGTTGCGCACAGTGTAACAGAGGCAGCGCTTGAAAAGGGCACTTACCAGTATCCTACAAGATACTGGTATGGACGTATGGACGTCACCTCCAGGTGACGTCCATTCCTTCACTTATGGCGAGTAGGCGACCTCTTGCATGCACTAACTGCCATCGCAGCATGGCACCAACTTTCCCAGCGCCACCTCTTTTACTCTTTACCTAACTGCATGAAAGTCAGGTCACGAATTGGAAAGACATTGGAAAGCTGAATGATGTTCTATACGGGGGCGCTATAGCAATTTTAGCAAACTTTTGGGTGTCAGTGCTGTGGAGTGATCAAGATAACCGAAGTTATTTTTTTGGCCCACCCTGTACTTCGTAAATTCATCATAATAAAAGGGTTCACAACTGAAC